TTTTTTTTTTCTTTTCTTTTTTTTTCCTTGAAAAAGAGAATTAATGAAGCTCGGTTTCCTATCAGCACATCTGTTGTTCCTAACATTGTTTTCCCCTTCCCACACATTTACAGCAGCATTATAATAACTAGTTACTTCTCTTCATCCTTAGTTTAGTGCGTGCCTCCAGAAAAGGAAATCGTGTATGGTATAGGTAGTTTGGGTAACCACCAATTTTTGTGAAAGTTATATGAATTTAATAATCTTTCAGACTTACTTGAACTTGGATGACATTGGCCACTGGGTTGCAAATTTGTAGGTAGAGTAACAGTCAACATAATCTATTAAGCTTCGTTTCCTTAGGAAATGAGAAACAAAAAAGCAGTTAGCAGTGATGATAATGACATTATTATTAGTGCTATAATTAATCTGTAATTAACTTCTGATTACAAAACCACAATTTAACATGCACCCTCTAATATTTTGGAAAACTAAATGTTTTCCACATTATATGACTAATTTCCAGAAATGCTTTTAATTGTATGCAATTCTTTTATCATTTAAGTCCACATAGATTCATGCTGGGGATTAACTTTTTTCCTGTTACTTGCGGGTTTTTGTTTTTAAGTATGAAAGGCTCTAATGTTTTACTAGTTCTTTTTCCTCCAATTTTACAGCTCCTTGCTCAAAACTTTTTACAGTTGTTTTTTTCTTTCCTAAACTGGAATGATTAATGCAATTGTATTCAACTTTCCTTTTAAAGGGCACAGCAAAGTAAGTAAGTTGAGAGGAAAACTTGATGGACCTGATTTTTTGGTTGTTTTTCTTAAATGTGTTCTTGGCTTTTATTTCAAATGACAAATTTTGATACCTCTTATATTATAATAGTAGTGTAGTTTTGATCCTCTAAGGTATGAGAAAGGCAAGTGTTAGAAGTCCTTAGTAGGCATTTTGGCCTAAAGTTCCATAAATGTTTAATGAGAAAAAAGCAAACAACACTGAAAGGGTTATGTAAAACTTGTTTTCAGATTGAGTCTTAGAGTAGAATTTAAGATCCTGCCTATCTTAAAACAAATAAACCAAGAAAAACACCTGAGGTGACATTTCTCAAGGTATTTTGTCCTGTACATCTCTTCTCTCTGTTAGTGTGCTCTTAAGTTCATCGTATTTCAGTAAACCTTTTTTTAAAAAGTTAATTGAACTTTGATCATTTCAGTGAATTTTATTGACAGTATTGTGTTTCTTCTCTGTCATTATTTACATTATCATCTTTAAAGAGGTGGTGAGTTTTAGTGAGGAATTGAGAATGAGAGATGGGAAGTAGGATGAGAAGAGTTAAACTAGCTATGCCAGCAAAAATGGATGAGTTACCCATCAAAGAGTTACCCATATATTTGAGCCAATTCTCATTGTTTCTCCTTGTATCCATATCTTTTCCCATTGAATGGGCTTGTTGTTGATTCCTTCTCCATTATATCTTTGTTTTTCTTTTCTCAGTTTCTTTATTCCTGACCCTGAATTTTCTTACTGTTGTCCTACACTCTTGTTCATATATTTCCCCAAGTGCCTTTCATTATTGCTTTCACTTTCTTTTTCCAGGCTGGTCATCAGGTTGGTTTGTTAGAGATTATCCAGTGTCTTTGTTGTTGTTCTGTCCTTTTAGACTGTGGATTCTCCAGGGAAAATACTGTCTCTGTTCTGGGCTTTGGGAAAAGGGCAGATAATGGTAGTATTTGTAACCCATAAGAAGTATTTAAAGTTTTTATGTTAAGCACATCTTTCAATTTCTGTTTTGGTTAATTATGCAGAAGTTTGTATTTTATGGATTGATGATGCACTCTATGCTTTCTCCACCTCTTCAGAAATTCCTGGAGATGTAGGGTGTAATACAGAATTTTCCTAGTTCCTAATCTAGCCATTATACTTTCTAATACAACAGGAAATAAATTTCTGAAGTCTTCAGGAGGTACCATTTAAAATATATACTACTAGAGATCCCTGTAGCATGTGTTCGTATCTGTACAGTTTTCTTTGGTTTTTTTTTTTAAAGAATTCTTTCTAACCAGAATCAAGACAAACTTTTCTTGTTTTTTTTTTGTTTGTTTGGTTTTTTGGATTTATTTTTAATTAGCTTCTGAAAGTTCTGATGATAGTGAGCAGGAAGATGACCAAAGTGCCCCGAATGTACATGCTGATGGCAAAGAGGAATCTCAACATGAAGCTGTAAGCCAAGATAAAAATGAACTCTGTCTAAAAGAAGAACAGAGTGGTTCATCCCTTCCAGAAGAAACTAAAACTCTGACAGATGTAGTAGTGCCCAAGTCGGGATCCAAGTCTCCTGAAAGATTGCGAAAAGAGATGGAAGAGTTGTCTGAAGATACTGACTCTGATGGAGAAGATGAAGCCGCAAAGAAGAGGAAGGATGTAAAAAAGGAGGTAGTGGATAAAACAGCAAAACCACAGGTAAAACGTGGTAAACGAAGATACTGTGTTGCAGAGGAATCTTTAAAGACTGTGTCACCTAATAGAAAGGATGAGAAGTCCAAAAACAAAGACTCCCTTAGTTTAGAAAACAGCAGTAACAGCTCCTCGGATGAAGATGAGGAAGACAAATCCAAACCGAAAATCACTCCAACTAAAAAGTACAATGGACTAGAGGAGAAAAGGAAGTCTTTACGGACAAGTACTTTCTACTCAGGATTTTCTGAAGTGGGAGAGAAAAGAATAAAGCTTCTAAATAACTCTGATGAAAGACTTCAGAACACCAGAGCGAAGGATCGAAAAGATGTCTGGTCAAGTATTCAGGGACAATGGCCGAAGAAAACGCTGAAGGAGCTGTTCTCGGACTCTGACACTGAAGCTGCTGCCTCCCCTCCACACGTTGCTCCTGAGGACGCTGCAGCAGAGGAGCAGCTTCAGACTCTTGCAGAAGAAGACATTTCTTTGCCTAGCTCTGAACTTGAAAAATCTTTGCCAGCTAGTGTGGACGTTAAACCTGTTGAGGAGAAACCGACTGAAGTGGGTGAAAAGAAAGTTGAATTTCCAAGCAGTGGCAGTAATTCAGTGCTAAATACTCCTCCTACGACTCCTGAATCGCCTTCATCTGTAACTGTAACGGAGTCCAGTAGACACCAGTCCAGTGTCACTGTCTCCGAGATGCTGCCACCAAATCAAGAAGAGATACGAAGCATTAAAAGTGAAACAGATAGCACAATAGAGGTGGACAGTGTTGCAGGGGAGCTGCAAGACCTCCAGTCTGAGGGAAATATTTCTCCAACAGGTTTTGATGCCAGCGTCAGCTCCAGTAGTAGTAATCAACCAGAGCCAGAGCATACTGAAAAAGGTAAAGGAAAGGGTAAACAGAGCTATCTTCAACCTAACCAGCTCTCATTTTAGCATTGCTGATGTATTTTCATTCTGTTACGGTTACACTGCTGGAAGGTTAGTTGTTGGAGGTAGTAGTAGCCTGCTGTCTACTTCAAATGTGTGGAAATGGCATAATCATCTAGTGAATAAAACATAATCTGCCAGGAAGTTTCTTGGCCTTTCATTAGGAATTATGATGGTTTCAATGAGGAATAAAGTATGTAAGAATAAAGTTTATACCAGACCTGGCAAGAAAAGCCCAGAGCAAACTGTAATACATTCTATAAGGAACATTTATTGTAGCAAGATGGATACATTTTGAATACCTTTCTTACAAGTAGAAGATACTGTTCTTACATAAAATTTTGATTCTCTGTAAGTTGTTTATTTGGGGGGAGAAAGTGCCAGTTATTGCATGCTTAGACAACCATTTCAAACTTGCATCTTATGAAATTAATGGTTTAAAAAAATGCAATTCAAGCTGATAACAAACATTGACCTTATTAGCTATGTTTCACTTTCAGATGTGATTTTGCAGGTTGAAGTTCCTATCCTGAGACCACTAGAGAATAGGGGATAATAAACACTGCCAGCACTTGTGCATGCTGCCTGCTTTTTAACTGTTTGCAAGGCTGGATCCAAAAGCCTTTTTGTGAAAGTCACTGGCTTTTTTACAATTCCATCAAAAGTACAGCTACTTTCACTGTGTTAAAGTGCCTAAAAAATTATTAATACAAAGGAAAAAAAAAAACCAACTGTCTGAATATAATCCTGAGATGACAGAAGTGGTTTCTTCATCTCAACATATTTCAGTTAATAATTAACTGAATTTTCTCAAAATGCCCTTAAGGTGTGTTACTGTCATCATTCTGTTTGAATTGTTTTTTGGAAAGAAAGCAACAAAATGTGTATTCTTAAACAAAGGAGAGAGTTTGGAAGAGGTGAATATTTGCCCTCAATAAATACGCCTGTATTGCTTTGTTAATTATAGATGTGTAGGTTTACAACTTAATTTGTTTGCTTTTTTATATAAAAGGAAATTATTGCCACATGAAAAAAGTTTTACACTATTACACAATATTACTTTTACATGCGTTAGACTTTAACTGATTTTGTCAGCATGCTGCCTGTTTTAGAAAATTGAGTTTCTTGATTTAAATGGTTTTGTTACAGGAGTCATTTTTAATCTGTAAGTCAGGTGGTTGTGGAACAACATTTGAACAACTCCTAAAATTTGCTCTTTTAACAGGTGTACTAGAATTCTTTTATCTTCCTTTTCTACTTTTTCCCTGTGTAGTCACAAATACCAGTAGACTTTTTCCTTTGTTTTTTTGTTTGCTGCCTTTTTTTTGTTGCCTTGTTTTTTAACAGTATCTAAGGGTTTTTTTTAATACTTACAATTAATGTAATTACTGATTACAAGTGATAGTTTCAGTTTTTTCTCACAGCTTCCAAGTGCTACAGGCTTTTTTGAACATTTTTCAGTTCCATTATTTCTTGATTTGATAAGTTTTTCAAATAAATGCATTCATATTTAATTTACAGTATTAAAAAAATAAAAATCCGTGTGGTTCCAGAGAAATTCTGATGATGCATATAGGAAAGTTACTTGCAATCATCTTACATGCACATTCTAACCAACAAACTTTTGTCTGCCTTCCGTCCACCTTCAGCTCCTCTTGTGAATATAAGTAGAAAGATGAGCTATATTAAGGATAGGCAGGAACAGTTGCATTGTTGTCTACAAACTTAAGCTCTGAAGTGGTTTTTTTGAGACTTTGAGAAAAACACACAGAAGTGCAAGTATTTATTTAATTTCTCTTCTTTCTTCCACCCCCC